TGGACTCCACCTCTACACTTTGACCTAGATGCAAGTTGACATAAAAAAAATCTAACCGCCATCATACTTTTAGGCAAAATCTAAATGATCTTAACTGTTGAATCCTCTTTTAAGTAAAACATCTATAGAAAGTTTATGGCTAACAACCTGGGTGAAATGAACAGGTCAATTAGAGTCACTTGCAGCAACAGATCTGTTATATCAAGATTAAGGCTGGAACAGCAGAACCGATAAATCAAATCTTGAGTCAGAAGAGGATTAAGAAACGGGCAGACACATGGTGGATGCACTCTGGAAGCGCAGAGGGCTGGATGAGCTATCCAGGCTGGTAGGCAGGGAGGAAGGGAGCTCAATGGAAGATCCACAGTTGGAACTCACCGCCTGCTCAGCTCAGGGGGAGCAAAGAAAGACCTGGCGGTGTTCTGTGAAAAACGTCAGCCTTGGCAACCACAGGGCTCAGTTCTACTCTGCAACCCGGGTGAGCGAAGAGCCAGAACTGACTATACAGCACACCGCAACAGGGAAAATGGCCTAAAGAACAGTTAAAGCATGCCAGAAGATCTCAGTTAATAGACGGCGTGCCAGATGGCTGGAAGATAGATGACCTGGAAGATACATTCTTGCAGGTAGTCATGAAGTAATTGTTATAAAATCCAAACCACCTAAATTTGTTGCTGGTTTACTCTGTGGGACCTACGGAGTCAAGGGAAGAAGAGTAATGTTAACTTTATTGTGCCCTGCCAGATCCCTCAGTGCTGAGGCAGGGACCCACGTGTTCTTGAAGATCTGTTTGTTTGTTTGTTTTTCCTTCCTTGTCTGCTTTTACCTGTTAACAAGTGCAGGCATGGCATTATTTATTTATAACACACCATTTATTGACTCTGTACTATGTGCCCGGCAGTTTACATACACATCTTTGATCTTCTCAACATCCCAGAAAATTTCAAAGTGGTTGTTAATTGTGTTGAATTAATTGTGACTCATGATGACCCCATGTGTGTCAGAGTAGAACTGTTCTCTGTAAGGTTTTCAGTGTTTACTCTTTTAGGACACAGAGAACCAGGTCTTTCTTCCCCAGGTGCCTCTGGAGGGACTTGAACCTCCAACAAGTGCTTAAACCGTTTGCACTACCAGAAAAGTAGGCCGGATTATTTGTTTTCCAGAATAGGAAGCTGAGATTCAAACAGGTTGAAAGATAGGTGTTCCTTTCTTGAATGGGTGCTACACATTTTAGCATATGTAAGTGACTGTTTCTGACAACCCTGAGAAACAGGGACTGTACCTTTCAGGTAATGAATACTCAGTTGGTTTTAATAATTAGCAGCTAAGCAGGCAATAAATCTTAAAATATTCTCCAGTGAAGGTTCAGAATCAATGTCAAGGTCTACTCTTATTTCTTTCACTCATTCAATGAACAGTTCTAGCCTAGGTATTTTCTTAGCTACCTCAATGGCAAAAATGAAAACG